TGCGCGCTATCTCCGAGCTATCTTTGAAGGACGCCACAGTCGGCGCCTTCGCTGACGTCTTTGCGGCCGCAGCGGCCGCAAACCCACGCCAGGCGTGCCTCGGGCGCTCCTGAGCGCTATCTCCGAGCTATCTTTGAAGGACGCCACAGTCGGCGCCTTCGCTGTCGCCTTTGCGACCGCTGCGGCCGCAAACCCTCGCCAGGCGTGCCTCGGGCGCTCCTGAGCGCTATCTCCGAGCTATCTTTGAAGGACGCCACAGTCGGCGCCTTCGTTGTCTCGCTTTGCGCCCGCTGCGGCCGCAACCCACGCCAGGCGTGCCTCAAGCGCTCCTCAGCGCTATCTCCGAGCTATCTTTGAAGGACGCCACAGTCGGCGCCTTCGCTGTAGCCTTTGCGGCCGCTGCGGCCGCAACCCACGCCAGGCGTGCCTCGGGCGCTCGTCAGCGCTATCTCCGAGCTATCTTTGAAGGACGCCACAGTCGGCGCCTTCGCTGTCGCCTTTGCGGACGCTGCGGCCGCCGCCCACGCCAGGCGTGCCTCGGGCGCTCGTGAGCGCTATCTCCGAGCTATCTTTGAAGGACGCCACAGTCGGCGCCTTTGCTGTAGTCGGTGCGGCTGCTGCGGCCGTAACCCACGCCAGGCGTGCCTCGGGCGCTCCTCAGCGCTATCTCCGAGCTATCTTTGAAGGACGCCACAGTCGGCGCCTTTGCTGTAGTCTTTGCGGCCGCAGCAAGCACGCACGCCGCATTCATTTCTATGTGCATGCAGTGCATGTTTTACACACATCATATGTGATATACAATTGTGTTACACCTCTGGTTCCTGTCTCTTTACTTGGATCTGCGCCTCTCATTGTTAATATTTACTTCATTCTCTACGCTGCCAGGTGCCAATGAATTACAAGGCTGCTTTCTGTATTTGTGTATGCTTCTTTTGCACCGCAGGCTCGCAGGACCCCGTGGTTTACGTGTGTAACTCATTGTTGTGATCTCTCATTCGATTTGCTTCGATCTACATAGGTGTTCTATCCCCTGCTTAATGTGCTTTGCTTTGCCCCAGGCCAAACCAAATTTCCGAAGCAATGTTCTGTTTTCATTCACCTGTCTCCTGTGCTGTTGCTCTTCAGTGTGGTGCTTTTCGCAATGGCAGGAATGAGACTTGAGTTGTTTCGATGGAATCTACCAGCGCACAGCCATTCCAATCATGTGATTGCTCCTTGGTGCTGGGGCCTTTGCTACCCATTTCAGTTTCGTTTTCTGTTGTCGTTCCTTGCAGTGTGCTTCGCATGCCATGGCGTTTTATTGCTACCACAGTGCCGTGCCCAGGTTTTTGCATCGACTACAACAAGTTCGTCGGAGCTTCCTTCTGCACACGTGTCCAGTGTCTGATGTTGAATAATGTTTATTCTGAGTGTCGTTCATTGCGCCCATCAGATTGCGCCAATCCAGCTCGCATGCGCTCATGGCCACATGTCAGTCGTGAGCCAGTCGTGCCAACTTTCCTCTGCAGGTATTCGTCTTGAGTGAAACGAGTGGGTCGTTCGTGTTCTCTGTTTCTTTCTCTCTATGCTAGCTTCTTGTGCTATCACAGTGCACCACAAGTAGCTCGTACACATATGCAAACATCTGTTTGAGAGACCCACGCGTGACGCCTTGTTGCGATGTGACAGCACTGCAAGAGTATGTCATGACTTGGTACGCAGCAACTGACAGCATGGACACACAGCCGAACGAATCTCAACAGGGAAGAAGCGTTTGTGTGTGTGGCAGTGTCGTCGAGGCTCAAGCTTTCAGCGATCACACAGTGGTGGTTCCAGAACGGTTTCTGGCCATGGCTTCCGCTGGCCTGCTCTCGCGTTCTTCGCCCAAGGGCAAGGGCAAGGGCAAGAACAAAGGCAGCCAGCAGGATATCTGGAAACAGAATGTACTTGTGTGCTGTGGGGTTGCCGGGATTGGCGCGAAGAGAATCGAAGCGCGCATCGAGCAACAGGGGCGCGAAGTAGCGACAACCATATGCGTACGATCGTGAGAATTAGCACGCAGGGACTCCATGAGCGCAGCGTGCGACAGAACCACGAAGTATGCACGCAGACTGAACTGGCCCGTGCCTTTCTTCTTGTAAGGATCCGTCCAAGCTGTACTCGGTGACTTCTTCGGAGTATGCTCTGCACCGCTTCGTGGCCATGTATCCGAACGTGGAGTCGGGCAAGCTGACACGAGCACTCTACGAGGGGGGCCCGCTGCTGGAGGACGCTTCGGGTGCTGATCTCCTCCAGGCTCATCAAATTGCCTTCAGCAATGGCGGCAAGCTCTTGGAGGAAACCCACAAGGCTGCATGTCTTTCTTGCCCTCTCATTCTCAGACCCTGCTGCTCCCTGCTCTTATTATTATATGCCGCGACAGGTTGCCGTCGGCGTCTCGGAGAGCGCCGCAACGCTCCTGGCGCTTCTCCGTGTCCTTCGTGAAGAAGAACAGGCTCCGATTTCTGTGTTGAATCTTTCTCTGGTGGCGCGTTTGCGCGCCACCCTGGAGCAGTTCGAGGCAGGCCTTCGCGTTCTGGACTTCAGTTGGGCTCTTGGGTGTGCTCGGCATTCGTATCATATCTATCTGAGTCAGACGGTCTCTGATACACGCTCGATCGATCAGGCTCTTTGTCGACAGGCTTCGTGGGTCGTTGCGTTCGGGGTTGATCGGATGATTCACAAGGAAGCAGGTCGTGTCCTCGGATCGACTCTCTGTCTACTCAGGCCTTGATCTTCCTCGCGGCGAGAGCGATCTTGCAGATGCGGTGGATCAGTGGCTCTCTCTCGGCGAAGCGCTGGCCCAGCCTCACTACCAACACCTTCTCCAATCACTGGCGAAAGTTGCTGTGTATCTTGCGGCGGGGAGCTACCGCGGCATGATCGCCGCGGCGTTCGGCGTTGATCCGCGCGTCACGCACGCCTGCGCTGTGCTCAGTGTCATGCCATCCTGATCGAGATCTGCACGTAGTCTTTCACGATCGGTCGATCGGTTCGGCCGAGGGTACAGATCATCGGAATGATCGAATCATCTCGTCGCCACGGCTGGAAAATCAAAGCTCGCTTGAGCGGCAGCTTCTGATAGAAAACATGTCCAACACGATCGGCGTGCCGAGTTCTCGTCGCTCTTGCTGGGCGCTGCTCGATACATGCAGCGTTGGGGAGCCAGCTAGGAATCTGTGTGATCGGCAACTAAGGCATCACGCCGCATCCCTCGCGCGAGACGCCCGAGTACACCGCCTGGAGCACGAACCAGGCCGATCCAAACCTGCTCCAGGCATGGCTCACCAGCGTGGTGCAGGCACGCTTTCGGGAGCTCCGTGGAGATACCAGCGTGCCCGCGCCGGCGCCGCCGACGGACAGGACCGCCGCGTTTGCCGCCTGGGCGGCGAGCGGCGCGGCGCCTGCAGTAGCTCCCTCGCCGCGGCGCCGCGTGTCTGCCGCAGGCATGAGCCCGGCGACGGCGGCGCCGAGTGCTGCCGCTCAGAGCCAGTCTCCTTTCCCGGCACCGCTCGCAGAGGCAGTGCCTAGCTTAGGCCAGGCGGCGGCCCCGCCCAGCGCTGAGCCTGACAATGAGCTGCCGGCGCCAGCGTCGTCAGCAGCAACAGCTGCTGACGAGCCTGACCCTGCTTCCTGCCAGCGGCGGCAGCGCCAGCTGGGCAAACTCGTTGCTGCCGCTGCTGCGCTTCTCGAACTGCAGCTTCCGCGAGGGCGGAAGCGCAAAGCGGAGTTGGCGACAAGCCTGGCTGCAGATTGGGAGAAATTCCAAAAGAAAGTTCATAGTTTCAACCAGCCAGGGGCTTGCACGCCCTACACTGTGCCGCGTGAAGTACGCGAGCACGTGGCCACTTTGCAAGCAGCGCTGCGTGGCTGAGGTGTCAGTGCTGCTGCTCTGCAGATCTCTCTCCGCAGGCTCCATCAGTTGTCTCTCTTCTCCTCTTCGGCCACTCCTCGCTGGCAGTGCACTGTCGCCGAGGCTTCTGTGAGCCTGCAAATGTGATCCCAGCATTGTGACTGGATGAGCCGCTGGCCAGCGCGGCGCAGCTTTCACCGACATCTATGAACACGCATTCTTTGTCTCGAAATGGTTCGCGTCTTTGTGTTTCTGTTATTATGAGATGGCGGCGGCAACCGACAGCGAAGGCAGCAGCATCACGAAAGCATATAGCGGCGGCAACCAGCATTGACGTTGCTCTTGCTTTTCCTTGCGCTTTCCCGCACCGCACCGCCAGGACACCAGACGGTCGACACCAAGGCAAGCTTGGCTCTCCTGTCGGGTTGTGTTCGTCGTCACATGTTGTCGCAGTAGCGCTGTTCTTTCATCTTGTCGTTCTTTCGTTTTCTTTTGACCCTGTGTCTCCACACCCATCCCGACCCATGTCCCGAGATACATGGTCCAGCGCCCAATGCCCCCGTAGCAAACTCTGGGAAGCTCTTCCAAACAAGTGTTACTAGTTGGTGTGGTCTCATGAGGTTGCATGAACTCTTCCCGCACACACTGCAAAGACAACTCACAGGGGACAACTTGGTGACACATGTATTTCCGCTTGTTGACAACATGTTCGGCATCTCTGTGTGTGGCACACTAGCACGCCAACAAAAGTAGATGTGGCAAGCTGCAAATCTCTTGGCCATCTGTCCGACGAGGGTGGCTTGCATGCGCTGCGCGATGCCCTCTTTGGTTGACACCAAACAAGTGTCGATGCTTGTTGCACTTCCCACCTCAAGGTTCGATTGCTTTGTAGCTCATGGTTCCGCACACACTTTTTGCTTCGGGAATTAAGTTTGAAGGACAGTTGCCGTCTGGCGTTGTGCGCTGCGTCTTCTTGGATATGCTATGCTAATAATCTTCTGGCCTCTGGAGGCTACCCACACACCTGGAAGTGTTGTTGCGGCATATGCGAGTAACACTCTCTCACGAGCTCGTCCGTAGGGTTTTGGCTCGAACTGGTCCAGCACCATAGCTTTCAGTCGTGCCAGCCATGCCTTCGCGACGCCGCCTCGTGGGCTACGCGGGCAGCGACGCCACATCTGGTTCAGACACTCTGGAGTGTTTTCCAGTCTGCGGTGGCGACAATTCGCGTCGCAATCTGGGATGGTGGGTGAAGCACAGAGCCACGGACGAGTGTCCTGGGTGCGGGTCTCTTCGCAGTAACAAGCTGCAGAAGGCAGACCTCAATCGACAGCAGGTCAACACAGCTTCCACTTGTGCAGCCTGCACGCAGAGTCGGTACGTCGTGCCGCAGGCGAGCGCCATCCCGCTTGCACTGCAGGGGCTCCCGTCGGAGGTGATTTTTGCTCTGCGTCCCTGTGTCTTGCACCAAGGCGACGTGCACTGGTCGTCTGCTCAGGGCTATCGCTACACCACTGAAATATCTGGCATATCCTGGGCCGCCACGTCGGTGGAATCGAGAGTACGAGACGTCAAGGAGGAATACAGAGACATGGCAGCGAGGGCATTGACATTTTTGGAGAACTCTTCCGATCGGACCGTCTGGAGAAAACTGCGAGCAGAGCACCAGGGTTGGCTGAAGCGCAAGGATGGCAAGCGCACATGGGGCTGGAGTGCGCTATTCCGTCCAGCTCTTGAATGCTGCCTCTGGCCGCACCTGTACCCCGATTCCTGGGCCGATTGCCCCGCGGACCAGGCTGCGGACGATGAAGCTCCA